ATTTTATGCCCCATAAGACACACAAAGTGATAACAGTGAAGTCTTGATTTGTGTATCCTGGGTTTAGATATTATCTACCAAGTTAGAAGCCAAAAGGGATGTGGATAGTCTCCTTTCCTTTTCCAATTGTAATTCTTTTTCCAACTGCCTTATTTCCTTTCTGCCACTAGCTAGGCATTGTTGGCCACCCCGAAGGACCCAGAGGAGTGGCCAACCCACCACAGCCACTGCTTGGTGGCCTTCCTTACCTCAGTGGGTCATGTGACTTTCTAATAGCTCTAATCCATTTGGCATTTTCAGGGTGTCCCTGTACTCCTGCAACAGTCCACAGGCATCAAGCAAACCAATTATGCCTTCCCACGTTGATGTGGTTGCCCACCCCAGGGTTTCCCCCAACAAAAACTTCATTCCTTGCCCATTTTTCAGTCTCTGGGCTGCTCCTGGCTGGCTTGCCAATTGTTCTATGAAAGGGAAGTATATGCAAAATGATCTCCAAAGGCTAGAGGAGCCATAAGACCGAAGAAAAAGGCCAACAAGTCCAGCTTGACAAAAAATGGTTTATTAAAGGGACTTCTGAAGAGTAGTCCCTCTTGGGTGGCTCTAAGACAAATAGATTTCTGCATCTCCACCTTCCATAAGACCTGCTTTTATAGTCCTAAAGGCTGAGGAGTACAGGCTGGGAGACCACCTGGGAAGAAATGTTTTGAGAATTATGTCTCCAGAGCAGATCCAGGTTGTTATGACCCAAGGGTGTACTTAGGTGTGAAGCGTGTGGCTCAGCAAAAAGAAAGAATGAGGTAGGGAGACTGCTCTAGAAGGCTTCAGATCACAGAATGGTCGTGGTAGATTTGTCCAAGATGGCATTAGTCTGGTTCACACAATAATGTAACAGAACTTTTATATGCCCTGGGGAATCCAAAAAATTAATGAGACTGACTTTATTGTGATACTCACTTTATTTTTTTCCCTTCAAATTTTTTTAATGTTTATTTATTTTTGAGACAGAGAGCGCTAGCAGGGGAGGGGCAGAGAGAGGGAGACACATAACCCAAAACAGTCTCCAGGCTCTGAGCTGTCAGCACAGAGCCTGATGTGGGGCTCGAACCCACGAACCGCGAGATCATGACCTGAGCTGAAGTCGGACGTGTAACTGACTGAGCCACCCAGGTGCCCTTCCCTTCAAATTTTTATTTTAAGTTGATTTATTTGAGAGAGAGTTGGGGAGGGGCAGAGACAGAGACTGAGAATCCCAAGCAGGCTCCATGGTGTCATCACAGAGCCCGATGCAGGGCAGAACTCCTGAAACTGTGACATCATTGACCTAAGCTGAAACCAAGACTGAGCTTAACCAACTGAGCCACCCAGGCGCCACTGTGATACCAACTTTATTTATTGGTCTGGAATGGAACCAGCAATATTTCCAGGATATGTCTGTAATGTATGTATGTTTTATTGGTATAGGATGTTATCTACATGATTTTATTTATGGATATAGTTCATATTTAAATATGAAGATAGTTCCTTGGACCCTACAATACCTACCCTATAAGCCTTTCTACTATTCATTAACATACAAAGTATTAATCTTCCCTTAATTCCCTTATCAACAAATGATTCTTGAATACTCGCTGTGTACACAGAATGGTTCGTTTCTCTCAAGGATGTCCTAGGCTACTGGAAGAGACAAAACTTGCACAAATGGAGTGAGGGAAATTGCATTTTAAAAGGATCACTCAGGCCAGAGGTACTGGCTCATTCAGTAGAGCATTGGACTCTTGATTTCAGGGTTGGGAGTTCAAGGTTCATGTTGGGTGTGAAGCCTACTTAAAAATAAATAAATGATTAGGGCACCTGGATGGCCCAGTACGTTGAGCATCCGACTTCAGCTCAGGTCATGATCTCATGATTCATGAGTTCGAGCCTGCATTGGGCTCTTTGCTGTCCGCCTGTCAGTGCAGAGTCCGCTCCAGATCCTCTGTCCCCCTCTCTCTGCCCTTCCCCCACTTATGCATGTGCGCTCTTGCTCTCTCCCTCTCTCTCTCTCAAAAAATAAAACATTTAAAAAATGAATGAATGAATGGATCACTCAGGCCAGAAGAGAACAGAAAGTAGGACATCAGTTATGAAATGAGTTAATTCATTCATTCAGCAAGCATTTACTAAGGGCTTTATATAAGTCAATTTTGTTCATCCTCAGAGCTATAAAGACAGATTAGCCCCAGTCCTGGCTTTCAAAGAGTTTACACTCTCTGAGCTTTTGAGGAGACAGATAAGGAAAGATTTAAGTATAAAATCACAAGGCCCAGCGGAAGCAGGAAGTGGGGAAGGGGATAATCAGGAAAAGATCCACAGATTAGACATTTCAGTGAAGTCTAGGAAGGATACAAGGTCTTTTACCAGGTGTTTATTGAGCTTAGTAGTTCAGGTGAAGATAAACCAATGGGAATGAAGGAGGCAACGGATTAAGCAGGTGTTTAGACAGTGGCTAATTTTTTTTAATAACTTTCACCCACTTTCCTTGGTCAGTGAGGACTCTGAAGACTGCCCAGGTGGATGGGGATCAAGGGAAGAAAGCAAGGAGGAGGAACAGGTATGGGGAGGAAAGAGAAGTTTTGTTAGCTTGAAGTACTTGCATAACATTCACATATAAATGCCCACTCTGTATTTGGGAACTAAAGCCTGGTGCTCAGGCCTAGACTGGACATGTCAATTTTTGAGTCCCTTAAACAGACCCTGGAAATACTGGAAGTTTTACAGAAAAAAGGCAGCACAGTTACCCCAGGTCCAGTCTTTGGCTCTGATGGGGAAGAAAATGGAGCTACTTAGTTGTTCAAGCTACTTTTAAAATCAGCATTTAGGGGCACCTGGGTGGCTCAGTCGGTTAAGCAACTGACTTTGGCTTAGGTCATGATCTTGCAGTTCGTGAGTTCGTGCTGATGGCTCAGAGCCTGGAGCCTGCTTCGGATTCTGTGTCTCCCTCTCTCTATCCCTGCTCATGCTTTGTCTCTCTCGCTCTCAAAAAGAAACATTAAAAAAAACTTTTTTTAAATAAATAAAATCATCATTTAAATTCTCCAATTTTAGGGGCGCCTGGGTGGCGCAGTCGGTTAAGCGTCCGACTTCAGCCAGGTCACGATCTCGCGGTCCGTGAGTTCGAGCCCCACGTCAGGCTCTGGGCTGATGGCTCAGAGCCTGGAGCCTGTTTCCGATTCTGTGTCTCCCTCTCTGTCTGCCCCTCCCCCGTTCATGCTCTGTCTCTCTCTGTCCCAAAAATAAATAAACGTTGAAAAAAAAAATTCTCCAATTTTGGTACTAAGTTCTTTGGTAACAGTTACTTTTTAAAAATATGTAATTGTGGGGGCACCTGGGTGGCTCAGGTGGTTAAGCATCCGACTTTGGCTCAGGTCATAATCTCGAGGTTTATGGGTTTGATCCCTGTGTCAGGCTCTGTGCTGACAGCTTGGAGCCTGGAGCCTGCTTCAGATTCTATGTGTCTTCTTTCTCTGCCCCTCCCCTGTTTGTGCTCTGTCTCTCTCTCAAAAATAAACAAACATTAAAAAGAAAAAAGTACATAATTGTGGGGCACCTGGGTGGTTCAGTCTGTTGAGCATCCAACTCTTGATTTTGGCTCAGGTCATGATCCCAGGGTTGTGGAATTGAGCTCCGTATCAGGCTCCATCCATACTGAGTGTGGAGCCTGCCTGGGGTTCTCTCTCTCGCTCTCGCTCTCGCTCTCTCTGCCCACCCCCCCCCCCCACATTCTCTTTCTCTAAAATAAATAAAAGTTAAAAATAAATATATGGGAATGCTAGCTGGTGCAGCCACTCTGGAAAACAGTATGGAGGTTCCTCAAAAAACTAAAAATAGAACTACCCTACAACCCAGCAATTGCACTACGAGGTATTTATCCAAGGGATACAGGTGTGCTGTTTCGAAGGGACACATATGCCCCCATGTTTATAGCAGCACTATCAGCAATAGCCAAAGTATGGAAAGAGCCCATATGTCCATCGATGGATGAATGGATAAAGAAGGTGTGGTATATATATATACATGGAGTATTACTTGGCAATCAAAAAGAATGAAATGTTGCCATTTGCAACTACATGGATGGAACTGGAGGGTATTATGCTAAGTGAAATTAGAGAAAGACAAAAGGCATATGACTTCACTGATAGGAGGACTTTAAGAGACAAAACAGATGGGGGCGCCTGGGTGGCGCAGTCAGTTAAGCGTACGACTTCAGCCAGGTCACGATCTCGCGGTCCGTGAGTTCGAGCCCCGCGTCGGGCTCTGGGCTGATGGCTCAGAGCCTGGAGCCTGTTTCCGATTCTGTGTCTCCCTCTCTCTCTGTCCCTCCCCCGTTCATGCTCTGTCTCTCTCTGTCCCAAAAATAAATAAATGTTGAAAAAAAAAATTGAAGAGACAAAACAGATGGACATAAGGGAAGGGAAACAAAAATAAAAACAGGGAGGGGGACAAAACAGAAGAGACTCATAAATAGGAGAACAAATGGTTACTGGAGGGGGTGTGGGAGGGGGGATGGGCTAAATGGGTAAGAGACACTAAGGAATCTGATCCTGAAATCATTGTCACACTATATGTTAACTAATTTGGATGTAAGTTTAAAAAAAATAATTAAAAAAATAAATTTAAATAAAAAAAATTAAAATATAGAATAATGTCATTGCCAAATTTTTATTTCTACTTATATTTCTATACAGAAGAAATATTTTTTAATATCTCTTTGTCCATTCAGTATAACAACTACCTTTTACTTTTAAAGAAGTTAGTAAATGGAAATATTCTTACATATAGTAAATAGGGAAACTTCTAGAAAGCCAACTAATAAAAGTATAAGAAAATACCCAACAATTGGTACTGAGTTATCCAAAAAGAATAATTTTTTCTTTATTGAGGTATATTGGACTTCATGTTTTGTTAATTTCAGGTATACAGTATAATGGTTCAATAAAAGAGTAATTTCTTTTTAATCCTAGGAATGGAAGATTGTGAAACGATGGAAGATGTATATATGGCTTCAGTGGAAACGGATCGGGGAGTAAAGGAACAGTTACATCTTTATGATACCAGAGGCTTACAGGAAGGTGTGGAGCTACCAAAGCATTATTTTTCATTTGCTGATGGCTTTGTTCTTGTGTACAGTGTGAATAACCTTGAATCCTTTCAAAGAGTGGAGCTTCTGAAGAAAGAAATTGATAAGTTTAAAGACAAAAAAGAGGTAAGTAGTTTTGTTAAAAATGTTAACTATGAATTGAAGTACTATTTAAATTGTAGCTTGGGGGGCGCCTGGGTGGCGCAGTCAGTTAAGCGTCCGACTTCAGCCAGGTCACGATCTCGCGGTCCGTGAGTTCGAGCCCCGCGTCGGGCTCTGGGCTGATGGCTCAGAGCCTGGAGCCTGTTTCCGATTCTGTGTCTCCCTCTCTCTCTGCCCCTCCCCCATTCATGCTCTGTCTCTCTCTGTCCCAAAAATAAATAAACGTTGGAAAAAAATAATAATAATAAAAAAAATAAAAATAAAAAAAATAAAAAATAAAAAGTAGGGAGGGTTGCCTGGTTGTCTCAGTTAAGTGTCCAACTCTTGATCTCTGCTCAGGTCATGAACTCATCGTCAGGAGTTCAGGCCCTGCTTCAGGCTCTGCACTGACAGCGCAGAGCCTGCTTGGAACTCTGCTTGGGATTCTGTCTCCGTCTCTCTGCCCCTCCCCAGTTCATGCTCTCCCTCTCTCAAAATAAGTAGTAAACAAAATAAATTAAACAAAAAGTAGGGAGTGATCAAACTATGTCATGGTGCAGATAGGTCAGAAAAGCTGAAGACACAGAAGTGGCCAGCCTTTAGTTAACTTGGGACGTCTTAACAGTTACAGCAAAACAGATGAAGTTTGATTGGACTGGATATAAGAACTGGACACAGCAAAGATAGCTCTTTGAGAATTTTTAGTCAAGGGTAAATATCTTGTCCTATAAAGCGGAACAGAGGAGCTGGAGAAGGATGTGTAAAAGAGGGCTTTTTCCCCCCTCCCCAGATGAGAGCTAGTGTTCATATGCCAATGGAATGCTTCAACAGAGAGGAGAAAATGGATGATATAGGAGAGGGGGTTATTTGCTGTAGTGACATCTTGTCCAGGGTAAAGAGGATGGAGTCTAGATGGTAGGTTATTAGATGTGTTGGTGGATGCAAGTGAAAGTTCCTTTAATTGCTTCTATCTTCTTACTGAAATAGTATAGACATCAGCTGAGAGTAAGGTGTGGGAAGGCAGAGATGTTGGAGGTTGGAGAAGAGAGCCAAGGTAGGAGCTGTTGTCTAGTTGCAGAATATATGGATGGAATATTAATATATTTACTAGAGAACACCAGCTCACTTAAAGTCCGTGGTTACGAATTGGGACCAGTCAGCAGAGCTGCTTTTTCTCTCCATGTGGTATAGGCACAGTTCAGTTAAGAGTTACATTTAGGAGCGTCTGGGTGGCTCAGTCGGTTGAGCATCCGACTTCGGCTCAGGTCATGATCTCATGGCTTGTGAGTTTGAGCCTCGCATTGGGCTCTGTGCTGACAGTTCAGAGCCTGGAGCCTGTTATGGATTCTGTGTCTCTGCCCCTCCCCTGCTCATGCTCTGTCTCCCTTTTTCTGTGCCCCTCCCCTTCTCTCACTGTCTGTTTCTCTCAAAAATAAATAAAACATTAAAAAAAAAAAACTTTAAAAAAGTTACATTTAGGATGGGGGTTGGTGACCAAGAGAATACGATGGGATGATGATGTAAGCTGGGCCAGGAACTGAAGACAGGAGAAGGGTTGAAGAACAGTGATAAAGGTAGGAGAGCCAGTGGACTGTAGATCCTTCTGGTGTTTAGGATTGTTGCAGTTAGGGCGTAAGGCACGAACTAGAAAGGCAGAGTGGGATTGGGATTCCTGGAACTAAAGACCACGAAGGGGAGTGATTATAATGGCAAGAGCTAGGATGTGTAGAGGAGTGGATGGCCAAAGTCAGGAGGATGGTTAGGCTATTTGGAGAAGTCAAGGAATGGAGAGAGAAGGTTACTGGAAGGGTCATCCATGTGGCTAGTGAGTCACTAGGAATTACGATAAAAGTAGTGTGGGAGTGACAGTGGGCCAGTTCTGTAATGAGTAGCAACAAGGTGGGGGTGGGAAACAGGCAGTCGATAGTACAGACTAGTAACACCAGCCTTCACTTTCAGGGTTCTTCGGGAAGGACTTTATTGGAGACAGCAGTGAGGGATAAGGAGGATACCCTTTACATCCCCTGTGCCCCCCATGGTGGTGAGAGTACTGTTTCAAGTAGGCAGGGTGACGGGAACATTGAAAGCAGAGATGGGAATGGAGGAAGGAGACTTCGTTAAAATCCGGGCGACATGCAACAGTTTCTACAACTGGACAGGAGAGGGAGATGGGAGGTCAGACTAGGAGATACATGTGAAGATGAAAATCTGGGTAATGAAGAATGACAGGAGGGCCTGAAGGGACAGATCCTGTGGAGAAATGAAAGAGTAGGAGACTTGCCCAAACCCCAAAGCTCTAGGTCCTGCTGCTCCATCCTACCAGGAAGGCATAGTCTAACTGGAGCGCAGGGAGCCCGCTCAGCTTTGAGGCAGAGACACAGCAGTGGCTTAAATGTCCCAGTTCAAAGCTGTTCCTTAGAGGTACCTTCTCTAACGATTCTTACTGCTCCTCTTCTACCTTTCACTCTCTTGTTTTATTGTCTTTCCAGTCAAGGGTCTGAAAATTGGATATCATCTCCCTTCCCCTCCCCACTGTGCTTTGATTGCTTTGCGACTGCTGTGTACTGGTGGTCTGAAATTGCATGGTGTGCATTAAGCATTTAAAGCTTAAGTGCATGATTGATTGCCTTACATTTAGTGTAAAATGCTCCCATTGGTCCATATATTCAACAGATTATTTAGTGCTTGCATCAGGCACTTGTCTAAGATCAGGAATATGAACAGAGTAACAGTTCCTGTTCTCACGGAATTTAGGTTCTAGGGGTGAACTCTCACAGCTCCAAGAGTCCACAGTTTTTAAAACATGTAATGCTGATTTCCTAAACAGCAGGTATAACCACTGAAATGCAGACACATTTCAAATTATTACCTGTATTTTTAAAATTTATTTTTAATGTTTACTTTTGAGAAGGGAGAGAGACAACATGGGTGAGGGGCAGAGAGAGAGGTCAGAGGATCCGAAGTGGGCTCTACATGGACAGCAGAGAGCCCGATGAGGGGCTTGAACTCACCAACTGTGAGATCATGACCTGAGCTGAAGTCAGACACTCAACGGACTGACCCACCGAGGTGCCCCTGGATTTTAGATAGTAATCTCCCCAAAGTCTAGCTTCCGTTCATACCTGACTTGAGTAACTTTCACCCACTGTTCCTTTAAAATGTTTCGTAGTTGGCAGGCTGTAGAGCATCTGCATTTTTAACCAAAATGTATCAAGGCAGAGTGAGGTTAATACCTGACTAACTTGATGATTCAAGTCACATCTGAGGATGTTTTGAAGAAGCATTCTGTTCAGTGGGAGTTTTCTTGATTTCTCTCTTTTGTCTGGCAACACATGTTGGCAAAGTGTAATCTTAATATTTTCCTTTCAGGTAGCGATTGTTGTGTTAGGAAACAAAATCGACCTTTCTGAGCAGAGACAAGTAGATGCTGAGGTGGCACAGCAATGGGCAAGAAGTGAGAAAGTGCGACTGTGGGAGGTAACGGTTACGGATCGGAAAACCCTGATTGAACCATTCACTCTGTTAGCCAGCAAACTTTCCCAGCCCCAGAGCAAATCAAGCTTTCCTTTGCCTGGGAGGAAAAACAAAGGGAACTCTAGCTCTGAGAACTAAAAATCAATAATGCTACAATTGTTGGATAGTGATTGCCTTTGTTTGTGAACATATTTAAAATAGGCCATTTATCTACCTTTGGCTCTTAGGCAACCTTTAAGGAATTAATTTAATGCACTTTAGGTTATAATTAAATCATTTGGACTAAGTTTATTGTCTGATAGGAAATATTTGCATTGTCATTGCTTGAAACTTGTCCCTGAAATTAGCACCTTTGTATTTATATTTTTGTTGCACTTGTCAAAACAGTAGAAAAATAAAGTTTGGGTAGTATGCAGATAGGAGTAGCTCCGCTACCCCTAACTTGTTTCAGAAGCCATTTTCTGTGTAACTTTATGCACACTTCTTAGCTCAAACAGAACTTTGTTTTTAAGGTCATTAATCTTCTCATGTCTAGAAATATAAAATGACATTTTTAGATCAAACAGTAAACTTGGGTGTTAAACTAAATCTTATCTTGTGGAGACTTTGCTAAATGGAACAAAACCTACCTGTGATTTAGCTTTGTTCAAATTATATGTTTAGCATGACTTGAGGTAGGGAGTGGTGTAAGTATGTTTAAAGTGTTTGCTCTTTCTTTAGAAAACTGCTAATAAGCACTTAAGGACACTCAAGCTTCCATTTTCCACAAGTAATGCTGTCCCTTCTACAGTCATGCCCTGGATACTTAGTCATGTGGAATAGAATGTATCATAAAAATATTGGACTGCAGGTAGTCTTCTGGTAAGATAGCTGAATGTGTGCTGTGTTATTCTTTGAAAATTCTGGCAATATCCGAGCATTGGGACTAACTGTATTTTGCAAGTTGGCAATATTGTAACTAATTTTAAAAGTAGGAAGCAAGCTATTGATTGTTTTGACTGGGAAAGCAGCTATTTGATTTCAATGTAAAATATGAGGGGCACCTGAGTGGTTCAGTGGGTTGAGGGTCCAACTCTTGATTTTGGCTCAGGTCATGATGTCATGGTTTTTGAGTTCAAGCCCTGCGTGGGGTTCCACCCTGGCAGCGCAGAGCCTGCCTGGAATTCCCTTTCCTTCTCTTTCTGCCCCTCCCATGCTCCCTTGTTCTTCTCTGTCTCAAAGTAAACTTAAAAAACAAAAACAAAAACAAAAAAAATGTAAAATATGAAATAAGCTGTTCAGCATTAACACATCTAGTAAACTGTAACTTAAAAAAAAAAAAAAAACTCTATCCCCACTGTGGGGCTTGAACTCACAAGCCGAAGACCCCAAGATCAAGTCTCATGCTCTACTGACAGCCAGCCAGATACCCATGAACTGTAACTTCTTAAGTGGAATACTTCTAAGGCTGGGCTCAGTGAATTTAAAGTCAGTTGGTTCATTTCTGTGAGTTCAAGCCAAGAACTGCATATAAAAGATACAAAACTTGTAAATCAGCTAGTGTTGCTACTACTTAGTTAAAATTCCTTATCACAAATGTTTTTTTTTTTTTTTGCCAAAAAATTATTCAGATAATGGTTTAGTCATTGCCTGTTTTCTTTCCCAGTAAGGGGGATTTTCTCGTTTTCCTATGTATTTTTACATAGATGGATACTTTTACAATGACTTAAAAATAGCATTTCTCTGCAGTAGATGCAGAGAAACAACTGCTGGATGTATGTACACTTCGGTACCAAACTGCCCTCTAAGGAAGCTGCATTAAGTTAGCCATGAGGATCCATCTTCAAAAGATGGGGGGTTCAATTAACCTTTTCTAAAACACCACCCCCCTTCCCACGCAAAAATCTATCTCGCAAGGCTGACAGCATACCAATCCTAACCTAGGTCCTTGGTAATGATGCAGTCTGCGGCGTTCCTTGTAGGTTTAGTAGCAAAGCTCTTGAATCTGCGTGGGGTGCCTGAGTAGCTCACTTGGTTAAGCGTCCGACTCTTGATCTTGGCTCAAATCGTGATCTCACAGTCCTTGAGATCAAGCACCACTTTGGGTGCTGCTCTGACAACATGGAGCCTGCTTGGGATTCTCTCTCCCACCCCTACCCCTCTTCGAGATAAACAAACTTAAAAAGTCTGCAAACCACAGACAGACAAGATAAAGTAAATGAATACAGCAGTGTTAGGTGGTGGTTTTAATATTGTTTATTAGCACAGTAACAAATGCAGACTTAAGCAGTCCACAACATATAACCAATCCACTGAGCAACTCCTATTCCACACCTTACAGTTAACAGCTTAAGGTATTTTACTACAGGTTTTCACAAGTCGTGATTCAAACCTCTCATCTTGTCACAATAAAGTAGATTGGTATATAAAATAAAATACATAACTACTCATTTCCTATATGGTGTCTTATAGCCACATATCCATTTTATATATATGAGATGACAGTCTCTAAAAACTGTTAAATATCGATGTTCCCTCCCAAGAAGGAAAAACAAATTCCAATTTTTTTGAACAAAAAATGTGTAGTCTTGGAAGGACTTTACATAAATGGCCATGTGTATAACCTGTACAAAATTAAGCTATTTTAAATTTACAGACTACAAGCAACTGAACCCAAATGTCTATTCTCTGTACTACATTTCAGCTAATATTGCAGAACTAATGACAGTTTTAGAAGTTGCTATTACCAATTCTGTCTACTGTAGCAAGATACCTTAAGTTACAACAAAATCTTAGGAAATAAGACTGAATAATATCTGTTATAGAAATACCCTACTCTTTACCAACTCCCACCCTCCCCCACCCCTTCAAAATCATAAGCAGCTCTCTCTGTGACAGACAAATAATGTAAGAATTGTGAAGACCCAATTTATGTAGCGTATCTCTTGGTCCACTGTCTGGCCATTCTGTCATGTTCTGCTCTGTTGGTCATATACTGAGTGGCAATACTTCCCACCAAAGGGTCAGCTGGAAGAAAAGAATGTAGATTACTTTGGAGAAAGGGAAAGAAAGTTTTAAAATTTAGCAAATAAATTAGTGACAGCTTGGAAACAAATACACAGTTTTGAAATGCCATTCCATCATCCTGGGTATTTCTTCTAAAAGCCGTTATTGCGGGGGTGGAGCGGGGGGAGGGGACTTCTTAACAAAACAGAATGCTCAGGCATTTAGTACCAGTGTGGCTTTACCTTCTTAGTTCATTGTATTTTTCTCCCAACAACCACCACCTAATTGGAAGTGCTTTTGCTCTTATGTGTTAGGGGAAGGTCAATAAAAACTGGAAAGTTCAAGGCTAAGACGAACATCCAGCTGTGTTCACATGACTATTCCTTCAGGGCAATACTGTGGTCCTCTGGGCTGTTGCAGTGTAACACTAGTTACCCGGAAAAAACCAGGGTGCCAGGTCACAACCTGGACCTCAACAAGTAAGTGTAATGTTGCTCTGAAACCTAAATAGAATCTTTAATAATAAAAGGAAATTAAGCCCCTCCCCCCACCCACCCAAACCAGTCTGATAAGAATTATTTAAGCAAAGTCACTTTCAAAATTGAACACCAGCTATGGAGCAAGTGAACTCAGTGAACCAAAAGGCACAGGAGAGGTGAGGCAGGTGACTCAACATTTAAAAGTATGTAGTTTAAGTGAACTGTATGAAAAATGTGAAAACCAAGGGCAAACTTATATAAATCTTAATTTTAAAATGCCTCATTCCTACAGCATAGAAGGGTTGCCTTTTTCCACTATTAGACTGAACTTTTTTTTTTAATTTTTTTTAACGTTTATTTATTATTGAGAGACAGGAGATGCACAGAGTGTGAGCAGGGGAGGGGACAGAGAGAGGGAGAGACACAGAATCCAAAGCAGGCTCCAGGCTCTGAGCTGTAAGCACAGAACCCGACACGGGGCTCGAACTCACAAACTGTGAGATCATGACCCGAGCTGAAGTCGGTGGCCTAACCAACTGAACCACCCAGGCGCTCCTAGACTGAACTTCTCTTGATTAAAACTTTCTTTGAAAAAACAAATCAGGGGCACCTGAGTGGCTCAGCAGGTTAAGCTTCTGATTTTGGCTTGGGCTCTCACAGTTTGTGAGTTCGAGCCCCGCATGGGGTTATATGCTGACAGCCTACTTTGGATTCAGTGTCTCCCTCCCTCTCTGCCCCTCCCCGGCTCATGCTGTCTCTCTCAAAAATAAATAAACATTTTTTGAAAAAAGATCAGTTTTTGTCCCTTGAAAGCTCTTTAAACTTTATCAAAAACAAGTATTTTTTCAGATGAGGAAGAAAAACAATAAAAAAATAATTATTAACCTTACCAGGATTACAGTCTGTAAGAAGGGAGCAGATAGAAAGAAGAACTTTAGAAATGGTTAGTGCTGGACTCCAATTATCTTTTAATATGTCCAAGCAAATAACTCCTTGGCTGTTAATATTACAGTGATAGATTCTTGTCCGAAATGTGACCTAAAAAATAAAACCGTGTTAAAATTTAAACAGCAAAGAATGAAAATTTTGACTAAATTACTTTTTCAGTTGAGTGGCCCTAATTAAAAATCTTTTAAAGAAACAGACATTTAGTTTTTAAAAAGATGAATAAAGAGTTTAAAGCTGAGGAGACACATTAAAAGACTAATAAATCTGAGATTAGAGTGTTCATTGATACAATCACAGGTCAAAAGTTAATCAACAAAAAGGTAATTTCAATATTTTTCAAATTCATCTTTAGCAGTTTCAGTGTTTTAAATGTTTTCCTAACTTTTCAAGTTTGAAATAGCTGTTTGCTGACCTCTTGTGTTAGCTGGTAGTACTACATGGCCTCAAAGTAAGCTTTGTATAATAAATTCAAACTGGGGGACAACATAGTGGGAACATAAACAAAATTCTTAGCTGTAAAGGCTGTTAAGAAAACTGAAGATGAGATTTACTTCTGCTTTTTCTGACTTTTACATTATATCCTGCAGATACCCTGTCTACCTAGGTCACAGAATTCACTGTAATGGAGTCTCAACAGGTGAGGAGCCAGAATTGGGCAAGGATCACAGCAGTAGACAAATCAACACAAGCCATGGGAGCCTCGATTGCTTTTTTTTGGTTTCCTAATTCCAAAGTAAAAATTATCATTTAGTAAATGAGAATCATAGATTATAGAGTGTCACGGGAGATAGGATCCTAGATGAGAAAACTGAAGCCTGGAGATTAAGAATGTGACGAGACCAAAAAAGGACGAGAAACATGGATACTTTGACAGTAACTTCTTTTCTGTTGAGTGGAAAACGGGATTAATTCTGAGTTGCTATGTCACTATAAACAGCAGGATTTTAAGCACCATCAAAACAAAGCACATACTTCTAGAAATGGTCTCTGCCAAGTGGCGAAGCTGCCCCCCACCCCTGCAGTGTCTTGTGTCCATCCTAACGTACTTAGAGATTCATTGAGACGACAGAAATCTCTTTTGTGATTAAAACTCAATTTTAAACACTTCAATAGTTTCTCATGGGAATATGTAAATCTGAATATAAATCAGGAAATTCTTACCTTTGGAGGCTTGAAGGGGTATTCAGGTGTAAAAGTGATATCAAGGAAGAATACACCCCCTTCATACACGGATCCTGGAGGCCCTAGAATGGTTGATCTCCATTCATAGATGTTATCGCCTTTGGGACCAGCACTGTGAAATAATACATCAAAAGGTAAGCAGATAGTATGGCACCATCCAAATTTTAGAGGATATTTAAGGAAAAAAGATGACCTCTTCTCTTCCTTTTTGTTTTAATGTGTGGATTCCCTCCACCAAACAGAAGTGTCTTTCAGACAGTCTGATTCTGGACTGCAACAAACCCATCAGCCTTAGGTCAAGTAAATGGAATGATAAAGAATGTTTAAACCATTCTAAGCCTACTTAGGCTGTGGATAAACAAATTCCTCAATTCTCAACCCTCTCCTCAATACATCATAAAAAATGTAAATGATACTTTAAAAAGAAACACTTTTCAGCACACAGAATTAAATTAGTGAAATATTAGTTGTTTTTGTTCATAGCTAGTAATTTCTGATGACCATTTTAAGCGCAAAGTTTCATTTCTGACCCACTGACGGGGGTTCTTGTCCCTTGCTCTATTTCCATAATCTTACCCTAAAAGGAGTCCGATGGATTGCAGTACTTTTTACATTATAAACCATGTTGAGTGGGAGGAGCACAAGAATGACAATGTATCCAATGACAAGTTACTCAATTTGCATTTCAGTATATAAAATTCTATAATCAGGTTCTCTAAATATTACAGTTGAGATGTTCATTTATCCCTTTCCCCATATTTACTTATACCATAAAATGGTAAAGCATGCAACAGGAACCCTGGAGAAGACTAAACAAGTATGGATCCCTAACCTCTAGGTCCTCAACCAGGGGACTTGGTGGGTCTAGTGAAGGATCTGAGCATCCACTGGAAGGACGAAGCATTGCTACCTAATAAACACCTTAGATACTTACTTTAAAGCTGTTACTGGAGGCATTCATGTAACTTTTTGTCATAAGCATTTTATTAACCATAGAATGAAACAAAAATTACAGGGGCCTGCAAGTCCTTTGCCTTTTTTTTCCCTTCCAGGTTCTCACTTGGAAAGTTAGACCTGCTGGTCTGGAAGGTGGGTAGAGAGACCTACAGTAGAGAGAGTGGTTTACAACTCTCAGAGGGCCACTGTGAAGGAGAACTGGGAGCAAGAGAATGCGTGAGACACGTGTACAGGGAAAGGTCTGTTCCAGCACCCCACCCTTTTCTCTATAAAATGACTGACTAGCTTTACCCTCAGGTCAGTATATTCTTTTATCAACCCTGTGTCCCCACCCTTATAAGATACTATTTAGTTCCACAATAAGAAATAGGACTTCAGTTTCTAACACTGGTTGAACTGCCCTTGAGAATGGCATGTGATTTAAATTATTAATCAATTTAAGTAATTGGAAAGATGGAGTTGAAATTAAGGTGAGATGGAAACAAAAAATACAGGTCCCTGTCTGAACATGTTGCAACATAACTGTGATTACAATCTTGGTATGAGGCTGAGACTGAGAAGGTGAAAGGAGACCATGCCTTTCAGATTGTTAGAAAATTAATGTTCATTTGTAACAAAAACACTTTTATATGAGGCAGAAAGAAAAAAAAATTCTGCCCTTGATTCAGTCTTTTTTCCTTCTAGTCAAAATAAATAGAGCTGTTGCAAACATTTTGAGGAATATAATCGGGGTGCCTGGCTGGCTCGGTCGGTAGAGCCCATGACCCTTGATCTCAGGGTTGTGAGTTCAAGTTCCATATTGGGTATAGAGCTTACTTTAAAAAAAGAAAAATAGTCATTTCTACTCTTGACACAGTATTTTCTTATTTCTGTAATGGTTTCTGACGTCAGACACATTCACGTTAGTGGCAGGGATTGTCATGAATCATAACACTCTTGTGACAGTACAGGTGCCTGCTGACTGATGGGCACCAAACCCCTTGAGTAAGTAACTCAATGACAAGGACTCTCATCTCCACTGGCCTTTCCCTTGATCCTTGAAACCCATGTTCCCTCTAGTGACCATGGGACAAGGCAGCTACAGATCATAGTTCTTGTGCCTTATAAAGACTAAATTGGTAATTTAACAGAATTTGAACAGCATAAAATGGAATCAATCAATACAAGCCATTTAACCTTAAAAAATAAGCCCAATTAGAAAAAAATGTCATTAGAGCAGTCTTATGTATAATTTGATGTGCTCTCTGGACTGAAGACAATCACATAAGCTAATGTTTAAGCTTCATTTTTTTTTTCTTTGATGTGTATTTATTTTGAGAGAGAGAGTGGGGAAGGGGCAAGGACAGAATCCCAAGCAGACTCCACACCGAAGGCAAAGCCTAATGGCGGGGCTCAATCTCAAGACCATGAAATTATGACCTGACCTGAAATCAAGAGTCAGAGGCTTAACTAACTGAGCCACCCAAGCTCCCCTTGTTTTGTTTTAAAATCATGTTTTTTAAGTCCTCCCCTATTCCCATCCTCAATACTAACTTACTATATAGACTACTGCTCTTCCATTTCAACAGCAACTGAAGATGCATTTCAATTTTTAAAGAACATCCTGGAAGCAAGGTGAAATTATAATCAGTGCTTTTAAAGATTATATTTCTATTTGATCAGTTTTTCACATTATTATTGGGAGAGATGACCCTTGTTTACAAACACAGAAGCCATAATTCAGGTCTTATTTTAGGCTTAATTCTAAAAACCTTGGTTATCTGCTCTCATATCCTGGGGGAAACGTTGAGAGTAAGAGGTTGGGAAGATGAAAAGATAAGAAGTACACTACAAACATTTGAATAGCAACAGCATGAAGTAAGTGAAAATGGGACAAGTTAGCAAACGTGCCAGCATATTTCAAAAAAAGTAGGAACTCATGATGAATTCAGTTAGAAGCTCATTCTACCCACCTAAAAATCCCAAGTCATCTCTGATAGTTTCCCACGGTACAATGACTAATGAATGCTTCCTAAAAATAAAGCACTGGCAAATACAGTTGATTGGCTAGTCCATGTCTTGTCTTTGTAGAAGCTTCACAATAAAGCAAACCGGTTGCTTATAGAAGGTGTATTAATAGCCTAAAATCCCCGCAATTCACACATTATAATTGTAGCCTTATAATTTTAGAGCAGTTCTCAATAGAGGATGATTTTGTCCCCCAGGGAGACATTTGGCAATGTCTGGAGAGCTTTTTAGATGTCACAACTCGGAGGGAGTGTGCTACTGGTACCTAGGGGGTCGAGGCCAGGAGTGCTAAGTAAACATTACCCAAAGTACCAGACAGCCTTCTACACCAAAGAATTCCCTCAACCCCAAAATGTCATTAATTCCAAGGATGAGAATTCTGCCTTAGAGAAATTGGCTCAAGGTTGGTTGAGCTAGTAAAGGTAAGAGAGCTTCACAGTTTGAATCCCTGTTGTCAGACTCTATCTAGTGCCAATCCTCTTATCTTTTACTGCTCTGTGCCTGGTACAGAAAAAACATTCAATAGACAGGGTTATTGTTATTAAAAGTTACATTTGCATATGCCCTAACTGTTCTATACTCTTGTTACTCAAAGTATGGTCCCTGGACAGAATAAAAATAACATCAGCATCCTCTGGAAGTTTGTTAGAAAAGTAGACTTAGACTCCCCCCCCCCCCCCCCCCACACCTAATACATCAGAATTTGCAAAGCTAGCTATAGAAGACATTAAGTGGCAAATGAATACCAACTCTACCTTTTAAACTTCTAGATTTAAATTACCATTTACATTATCTAGCTCTCTCCTTCACTGCCTATAATTCTTTGCAGTAAGATACAAGTATCAACCCTGGTAATGCTTAGTTGTGTTAAGACTATAAAAACAATAACCAGAAAACTTAGGAAATGCTTATAGGAAGAGATCCACAATCAAATCTATATTCCCTACAACATACTATTCAAAATCCATTCTTAATTTATTCTGCTAATAAATTCAAAGAGAGTATGAGAAAATAGTATGAATGCTGCAATCTACCTGAAGGAATCCTCCTCTCCCACAATCATCACCCAACAGACACGCTCTCCAGGGAACGAAAGCTGTCTTCGCCATGACATCTACACAGCACATAGAGAGGACATTTTATAAAAAGTAAAAAGCTTCTTGTCCTCCCATCCCTTCAGAAAACGGTAGCCATCTGTCACCTAGAAGTGAGTAGCAGGAGCAACTTGAAAAATCAGAAAACCTCAGTAAGGTGACTAACAGATTAGTTACATGGCTTGGTGAAGTGACATGGCTACTGAAAAGTGAGTCAGCCACTCTAATAACAAAGAGAGGCCTCCTCCTACAAGGTGGTACTGCTAGGGAGGTAGTCGCCATTCTGTGGAAAGGACTTACAGTTCAAGGGCCAACCTAAAGGACTCCCCAAAACAGCTGGTGCCTACATAAGAATTCACATCAGTGGTATCCAGTGTATCTAAACAGTTACTTTGGAACAGAGTGGGCCCAAATTAGGGGGTTACATTTCCCTACAAATGGGAGGAAAACTGGCTCAGACACTCTAGACCTAAAACATGATCCGTGTTCACAAACAGTGGCATTCCCACAAAGTCCCCCCCAAATCGTATTATAACAACATTAAGGAAGTGGTGTGTGCTGTCTTCCTCCAGAAGAAAGGGGATATACCTTCAAAGGGATTTGATGCAACTTTTCAAGAAACACAAGGCTGATTTTCGGCCTATGGAAGACATAGAGTGCATTTTTGAAATGTGTTCCGAACCAGAAAGAACATAGTTGTAGGTATTTTACACAAACTGCTACAGCCATGTGGATATATCATCTCTCTTAGACCAGATTTAAAGTCTCTAGAGAACAGTAATTTTCTACACATACTATATGGGACTATTTTTTTTTTTACTTTTTAAATTTGTTTTTAATGTTTATTTTTGAGACAATGCGAGAGACAGAGTGCAATCAGTGGAGAAGGAGACAGAAGGAGACACACAGAATCTGAAGCAGGCTCTAGGCTCTGAGCAGTCAGCCCAGAGCCTGACGTGGGGCTCGAACTCACAAACCGTGAGATCATGACCTGAGCCAACGTCAGATGCTTAACCGACTGAGCCACTCAGGCGCCCCAGTAATTAACATTATTTAATTAGCTGGCCAAAATATGTACCACTGTTTAGAATTACACAACAGTGTTTCCAATTAGGTAAAATAACAAAACACCACAAAAGCTTTTACTCAGCTAGCCATTCAATTGTAGTTTTACCTTATATGTTGTTGCTTTAGAAAATAATCCAGCCTTCTGGAAATCTACAATCCAATCTTTTAAAAAAAAAATTAGATGTGCACAGAGTAAGGACACAATTTTAAAATGAAAACTACTTTCAAGAGACAACAATAGGGATAGTGAAACAGCAGGCCTAGAAAACTGTACATCAATGGGTCCTTACTAGTAAGGAGGGATGGCTGAGTAATGAGAGTGTTTGGTAACTAAGCTAAGAATCCCACTTTAACTTCTGGACTATTGATATACAAGATATACAAGTGGGGGGTAAGGTACCAAGCAAGTGAAATGCAAACTAGTCAAATGTCAAGGGCCTAAAAGAAACAGGGGCAGGGAAGGGTAGAGAAAGGCCCACAGAAATGATTAGAGAGAATTAACTAAGAGATCGGTATCTTTTGTCTCAAAAATTATTTTTCCTATATTAGGTTATATAGAAGCTACACAAGCTTAAGAACAATTCCTTTTTTTTTTTTTTTTTTTTTTAAAGTAGGCTTCACACCCAGCACGGAGCCCAATATGAGGCTTGAACTCATGACCCTGGAATTAAGACCTGAGCTGAGATCAAGAGTTGGATGCTTAACTGACTGAGCCACCCAGGCATCCCCTAAGAACAATTCTAATTTGCTCTTTCCCCAGAGAAGTTAGAAAAACAGCGTCGGAATAGAGTCAAGTGTAAGGCTACGGTGATTACTCCTCTACTGCCACTAAAACAATCCAGAGCAGGTTATCTGCCTTAGAGTCAAGCGGTAGAGTCCTGATTTTTTAGCACAATGCTTATATTAGTGAATATAAAACTGGTATCTAAATGAGTAAATAGAAATCAATCATTAGTGTCTGGTTCTTACACTAATCAGTTCACAGGGCCTACAAAGCACAACCAACTCTTCTATTGGAATGATCGTTGGTTGTACTGTGGTAAGTGAGTAATGGGGGAAAACAAAATCTCTTGTGTAGACTTTTGGAGGGAATATGGTTCAGGTGGTAACACTTAAATAAA